GTTTAGGTACCAATTTAGTTAGTAGTTACTATTGTAGTATTGTCAGTGTATATTGAATCATGTAGATATTGTAATAATAAATATTTTAGATAATATTATAAGAATTGTATGACCGTAAAAATCTATATATAACATGTATTATACTATGATATAGTAAATTAGTATCTAAATGAGATGAAATACAGTGGAATTTTTTAACAGTGCTACATAAACAGAATATTAAATATCTGTATATCACAAAAAACAAATTATTATCATGTTTAATGATATATATATAATATATATCATCACATAACACACTTATATACTCACGCATATTGTAGTAAGTAATTAAAACAATATTAATACAAATCTCGTGGTGATGAGTGATGACTGACAAGGCATACATAAAACACATTACGCATTTTAATTGTATACTACCTATACGCGTCGTCGCGTAATACTCATAAATCATTACATAATATTGAAAATAGACTATAATACAATAATATCATCAAATATACTTAGTAATATCATAGGCTGATTGACCGTTTTCGCTCAGAATCGTTTTTCTTATACAATGATATTATATCATTGAATTCAAATTTAACACCATCCATTACAGTGACCCACTTGTAACCTACTGTACAGCAGAGCTACTTTTTCCTTATAGTTATGTAAGCGTTTGTTAATTTTATTTAAATCAATAACTTATTAAAATATGAATGTACATAATAATTATAAGTTAATAGTTAATACATAGGTATAACCTAATAATATTACTTTTACTTACATGTAACATTTAAATTGCAATTTTTCTAGCTTTTTTTCCCAGCAAAGTCTTCAATAAGTCTTCAATAATGCAAATTTTAAATTTTTTGTGCCTTCCTAGAAATTGCGCCGGGGTAGCTGGCACCTCTAGGCTCTAGACACCCCACTACTACGACCCTGATTGTAAGGGATCAAAGTTAGAAACATTTTTAAATTTTAAATTTGATCAATCTTGTAAGAATATGAACTTCAAACGCTCATAAAAATTCATAAAAATGTCTCGTTTTAAGTCAAAGATTTTAAAATGTAATAAAAGATTCGTCATAAGTTTTTCTACCTTAATCAAAAAAAAAAAAAGGCCAAAAGAAAATCAAATTAAATTCATCACCTATACTGTACATCAAAGTGACATCCACTTACCCACCTTTATTTTTAAATTTTTTAATTTGATCTTAGAGCGCTGATCTTAGAGATGACAGATATATTAGGAGACAGACTTCAATTCGTCTTTTAGATAGGTACCTACTGTCAAATTTCTGTGAGAATAACTTATTTTCAATCTTTTTAATGTCATTAAAATGTCAATGAAATATTAGCGATTTAAAATGTCCATCTGTACGACGCTAAAACTGGAAAACCCTGATACGGGACGACCAAGCCCGGATTAAGACATTTTGAGGCCCAGGGGCTAGGGGCCAAAGTTTAAATGAGTTTAAAAAAAAAATAATGTATATTAATATATAGGTACCTGTTATAATAAATATATATAGGTATTAGGTACATAGCAATAAATCAAGAATTAATTATCATTTTATTTATAAATCATAATTTACAAGCTTTTTTCCTCGCTAAATAATCATCGATTTTTTTAAAGTGATTTATGCGGTGTTATAGCCTATAATGGACAAATCTGAGGCCCCTAAATAAATGGAGGCCCGGGGGCCTTGGACCCCCCCTTAAGCCGGGCTTGGGGACGACTGGGCCCAGTCATGGTAACATGAGTAACATGAGGTTGCACCATAATAAGCTCAAGTGGTCAGAAACTGATACTCTGATGGAACCACACACACTTTCCGAACTCCGAGTCTCCGATGTGTGACTATAATTTTCTTGTAATAGTTTATGTTTTTTTTTTTTATTATTATAAGTTAATCTGTACGATTGTACACGTTAACACAACAACTAAAATATAATGATATCCCGATTACTGTTTAGAGTATTTTAGGAAATAAAAATAAAAATAATAATTATAAATAATATCGTTTAAGTAATACAAACAAATAACGATAGTTTATTATCGATTGCAAGACGGTCGCTCCACACGGTACTCACTAGACACTAGTCTCGATAAATTATTGCAATGCAATTGATGCTGTAAAGTGTAGACCAAATGAGTGCTAGAGTTAAATTCAAAATTCAAATATTTTATGTTATAATTATTGACAAATTGATCGTAGAAATGGAAAAACGAAAAAGACGTATTTATGATTGGACGAAAGATTTAGTTTTTAACTGAAAAGAGTTTAAAAGACCAAGAAAAAAAATAAAGGCAAATAATTTAGTTGAAGCCTACAAAACTATTTGGAATCTGAATTTGTTAACGAGTTTTTAATATTTAGGAGCTTTCGAGAAACTGCCAACTGGAATGTCTGTCAAATGTCAATGAAATGCTAATGAAACAAATAAATACCAAAATGGTAACAAGCTTTCCAAAATTGCTTTCAGAATATATTTATCAATTTTTGGTACTTCGTGATATATAATAAATAAATATGCAAAATGGTAAAGAATAAGTTGTTTTTTATGGTTTTTGACACTTTAATTGTATATTATATATTTGAAGTAAAATGAATTGTTTTTAAAATCTGTTAAAATTGTTATAATATAAAAAGTAATAAAAGTTTAGATTTGATTTTTATGTTGTAAATATTATTTGTTTTTAAAGGATTAACACTATGATTCAACATTTCCTCTCCCAATCAGAAGGTTTCTTAATCATTTAAACACTGGACACTGCATGGCAATGTTAGGCTGTATGCACTAAAGGTACCTACTGTGCCTAGGGCCTATGATGGTGTTAATCCAGGGCCTGCTACCATACTATAGGCACTACTTATACTTGTTACTGCTTCACAATTTACTGCAGCTGTGCCATTGCAGCATGCATACAGATGTAAACAGAACACGGACGGGACCACGACCACTTTCACGCGCGCTTCTTGCCGCGCATGGCCCGCTCGAAAGGCCTGCGTGGGGTGCGCTCACATCGTCGCCTTCGTCGGGTGGCGTACGTGACCATGGTCACAAGCGCATCGTTCGAGCGTTCACGCACGTGCGCCAATAACAACTCACAATAACAACGCCGTGTACATTGTTCGGTGTATGGTAATTTTATATTTATGATTAATCTATGATCCACGTGCGAGCTTGGATCGGAAACCTGCTGCGACCGCAGATCTCCGTTTGTATGATAAATCCGTTTATATGATATGCTGCATTTTTATTATGTTTGGGTCATAATATAACATACGTTCATCTCTACGAAAATAGGTGGGGGAGGGGTATATCGAGCCTAAGCACCACAGACATAATATTCTGACTTTTTAGATTCTGAGCGGAGCTTTGAATGTACCTATTTGTTTTATAATTATCTTATAGTGTTTTTTTTTAGTAGTTGGTACATGAGGAGGAATAGGAGATCAATCGTAGATAATTCCTCTTACTTTTCAAAATAATTGAGGTAAGCTAACAAAAAGCAGAGGATAAACGGGAATGTCGGGAATAATAACGCTCATAATCGTTTTTTGTATGTATGCAATGAATTACCTATCGTTAAATTCAAATAAACATCATTATACATCCATTAAAATGTACAGTAGTCAGTAACCTACACTCGAAACCTACCACAATGCACAGATACGTAGAGGCATATAGTTCTCCGGTTTTTATTACACTTATTAGTTATTGATTATTGGCCACGTATAGGGGAAAAAGATGTTATAATACAAAAAATATTAAAATATTATACAATTGGATAAAATTAAAAAATTTAATTTACTTCCTCAGGGCAAATTAATAATATTCTGTGATTATACTGAAATGATTAGAATTTTTATTATTTATAAGCGCCATTATAATTTATTGCCTATCATTTTGCTTTTTTCCGTATACCAAAAAATATATTGGTACATAATAATTAATAATATGACATATCTAATATCTATATAGTATATCATTAAATCAGTAATTTAGTAGGTAGATGATTAAATGCAATTAAAAAAAAATGCCAAACTTATAAGATACCATAAAAATGGTTGATTTAAATATCATAATCATTATTATAATATTATTTTAAATTTTGTTATTAAGGTCATAAACGATAAAACTCATAAATAATATGACGTTGTAAAATATTTTTGTGTACAAGGAAAGTATACTACAATTTAGTTTTATTACCCAATCGGCTATTTAATAAAAATTTGTAGCGTAATAATTTTACTGTCTTGTCACTATTCAGTATTCACTATGGCTGCGCTCTAAATACATACCTACAAATCAATATTACTATTTAAATTTTTTTTAGATTTTTATTACGTCTTCTGTAATATACGAAAGTACAAAACGCTTCAATAATGCAATATCATCAAGTTGCCTCCAAGTAATCGGCCTATATCGTCTAGCGAAACGTGTAAAAACGAACGTGAAGCGTGCGCGTGTATGTACCTATATTATTGTGTTTCGTCGACGAGTTTGTTGACTCGTAGGTTGGCGGGTGTGCGGGAGGAGATCATAACAATAACACAACGGACGCGCGCACACCGGCAGGCACGCGACGACGTGGGTTCTTTGTGTCGGCCGCGCGTGCGTGCGCACGCCGTGTTGCTGTGTTGGCGACGGCGTCGTCGCCGTCGTCGTCTTCCTCACTTATCCAACCGTTCATTCCGCGTCTGTCCGTCGTTCCTTGCTGTCTGTCGTCGTATCATCTGTTCCCGATATCGCGCATCCGTTCGAGTTTCGGTGTCCATTTTCGGTGCCTAACGTTGTTGGCTGCGCAAAACCGACGCCAACTATCGATCGTCATTCGTCACTGTCTCTCGTTTCCCCTGATCGTTTATCTCCGCTCCTGCTGTCTTCGCACAGAGTGACCGGTTGAAAAAGCGTCAACCGCGCGCGAACCGTCCATCGCGTACTTGCGCGGTTTCCCGTCCGGCGTACCGTCAACGAACAGTTTTTTTTACTCCCTTGTCATCATGTCCACCACCCCGAAGTCCCTGCCAGAGGAATCGCTTGGCGGTAAATATATTCCCTTTATTTATTTGTCTATTTGTTTATAATAATAACCCCCCCCCCCCCCTTGGGGGGGGGGTCAGAGAGTACCTACTGAAGTAACGATTGAACATACCTATTATTAAAATAACACTATAAAAATAATATGTAACAATCTTAAGCGTCAATTGAAGAACGAAAAAATCAAAATCGGATAAATTACAAGTAGGTTATTGTAACTCAAAATTCTGTTAATGGGATTTAAATGTGGGTACCTAAAGGCTATGGGGACTATGTAAAATTAAATTGCAATTACTGAATGTATTATGAAATATCCAAGACATTTTGTCTGGTAGGTTAATATTATGTAAATCAGTTTTTTACCTCGAGTGGTCGAGACTACTCGGTATCAGGGTAGTCCTCATATGTTTGATTAGACCTTTAAATTTTCTCAATTCTGTTGACCAAGCCAGTTTTTGAGGTTCCAAATTTTAAAAAATACATCAAAGTGAAATAAAGAATATATACATCAGTTTGCACGGTGTAGGCGACTGCTGTTTGTCAGAGTTATAGTGGCGATTGATGATGGTGGGATGGGGGCTAGAGAGCCATTGCTATGTAATAATATGTCCCTTATTATGGTTGTACACAATTATAGTCCTCAGAGTTAGATTTGACAGAGAGAAACGCATCATCGAGATAACAGCTGTTCCAAGTTTGGATGGCAAACATTATAAAGACCTGTTGTATTATGACATAATATTTATAGTAATATTATCCTTGTGTAATAACTAAAGACCGGATTTATATGTTTTTACATATCGTTACTGGGTCTATGCAGTCTTATGAGAGTAAAAAATGTGGACGATTCGTTCAATTCTGAATGCGTAGAAAAAAAGTTTTTTTTGCATATTTGAGAATATTTCATTTGTTGGAGAATATTTAACCCAGTTAGCATATTTTGGAATATTTCGTAAATTGTGAGCAAAAATTTGTATTTATTTTTAATTTTAATATTACGGTACTCTGAAAAAAATTTTTTGACCATTTACAATTTATTTGTTTTTTTTTTCATTTTGATAAAATAAAACAAGCAGTATTATCAAGGTTTATCTATGTATATCTACTGATAAGATCAACTTATAAGTTTATCAAATATTCAAATATCAAAATTTTGTTTTTGTGTTTTAATATTATACTGTTATATTTAGATTATATTCCAACTTCCTACTCTTGCTAAAAATGCAATACTATTCCATTAGGTATAATACACAACTCTTAATACCTAATTAATATCTCACTATAAAATAAAGTTGAAAAAAATTTAAAAAATAAATGCATATTAAAGCATATAATGATGTTTTTTGATTATTTTTGCATATTTTAGCATATTTTTTAAATTTTTGAGAGAATATAATGAGAATATTTGAAGGGTTTTTAGAGAATATTAGCATCATATTTTGAGTATTTTAAGAGAATATAAATCCGGTCTTTAGTAATAACCAATATCTATACATATGCATACTGTAAAATATTAATGATGTCTAAGAATTTAGTTAAATACTTAAATAATAATATGGATTTGAGTAAAATATACAGAAAGCATTTGTGGTAATGAAATGACTGCCTTATCACCATGTAAATTATTGTGAAATGTCCATAGATATTTAATTAGTTTTAAATTTCAGGAACTGTTTTGTTTTAACTGTTCTTTACACAATTGCACCAAATAGACGGTCAACATAACATAATATTATTGAGATTAGACACCTAAAATTATAATATGTCGATATTGTTATGTAGTTATACCTATATCATTTTATTTGTGATAACCGCTTAAAATGTTTTGATGAGTTATTGACAATTCTACATTTATTGCTCCAATAATACTATTGCTTAACATTATAGGTACATGATTTATTTCAAATTCTTTTTTTTCCCATAAATGTGTTTATAGATATTTAGTAACTTTTATAGCTATTGACAGTTGTGGGTAATATAGGTAATAATTGGTAATAACTAATAATTAATAAATAAATTGTGAATTATTAAATTATTCTAATTGGTTTAAATAGTTATAGGGTAGCTATTCATTACTGTTTCGTTTTTATGCGCATTTCTTCATAATTTCCAAACCATTGGCTTAATCACAAGTTTTATTAACTTTTGTATTTAATCAATAATCTTTTCTTTTGTCTATATTTTTAGTATAATATCATCAGCTAATTAGTTTATTCTCCTCAAAATTTTTATGATTGCCATACAGCCATTATATTCTCTTAAGTTTGAAATAAATCATTTTTATTTATTTAAAAATGCAATGAAAAAATAAGTTGGTAGGTACCGCACTGCCGCTTAATAAATATTCCTATTAAATATTTAATATTATATCCTAAAGAATTTGCCATTCTGCACTTGTTGTTAGATAAGAAATAGGTAGGTTCAATAATTATTATAAAATGGCTGTTCAATCATAATATTATATCTCTCATTATCATTTTTCTACAATGTGTTTATTAATATTTTTTATTTAATATTTATTGTTAGAGAGATTTATTATGGATAATTCTCTAAAGTAAAGTTCTTTTATAAATTATGTCAATATAAATTTAAAATTTAAATGTGTTGGGCTCAACTATGGATAATTAAGTAATATTTCAAAGAAAAAATTTAAAATTTATTGGTTTTTATTAAAAAGAGATGTTATGAGATGTAATTTTGTAGAGAAATTAGAATATCACCTACAATAATTATGCAATATTTATAGTTATTATCTAAACTTCATAAGTTATAACTTTAAAAGTAATCTGTATGAGAAAAAAAATTATACTAAGTTTTACACGCAGGGGAGGGGGGCTAATGGGCTGAAGAACCCTCCCCCATTGCCCGTTTTATTACTTTTTTAAAAATATCTATCAAGTTTCAACTGTTGTCAACTAGTAAGCATGGTGTAAGTTCATATACGTCTTACCAGAACAAATTCAAATTTGCATACCAATTTTCCTAAAATAATTAGTAATTTTTGGGTAAAAGTATGAATTACTTGTATGAAAGACCTTTAATTAAATTTCCAAGATTTAGCTATGCAAATTTAATATTTTATACATTTTGAACTACAAATTAATTATGATTTTGTCAAAATTTGAACTTTAAATGCTTAAAAAAATAATCTAGCCGATAGGTATTATTAATATTTTTAAATAGCTATAATAAAAACTTATGATGAACCTTGTATTAAATTTTTAAGTTATTTGACCATAGGTAATATACAAATAATTATTTATTAAAATTTTTAGAAAAAAAACTTAAATTTATCAAATACTATCAAACTGAAGACCGTCAGGGTTACCAAACAATTTTCATTTATTTTCATTTTTTCTGATTACTTTAAAAAATACTGAGAATTTTCAATTTCAACCTTCAAAAAGTCCTAACTAGATCAAATTTGCTTCCAATTACCTCCATTGAAGTTTATGATCTGAACATTTTTTCTACTAGAAAAGTTGAGAAGTTGAAGTTGTACAAACATTTTCAGATACCTCACCTAAACGTCTGCAATTGTTGGATTAGAAAAACATAAAAATAAAATTGTAATCCATTTTCAAGCCCTCTCCCCTAATTGAATACAACTTTTGAATTTATACTCTTCCATAGAAAAAATAATATCTAATAAAAATTGGAAATCACCCTATAATAATATTATGATTTATGATGTACCTACTATTGTTTAGTACAGTGTTTCCCAATCTTTCTTAGTTTTCTATTAAAAATTATTTTTTTTTTTAAACAGCGAAAAATATTTTATTTTACCGTAATATACGGTTATCTTATCATATACAAAAATCACACTAAGTAAATTATTAGTAAAGTTTAATAATTTTATATAATAGTACAGTAAAATAATAAAAATTTTCCAATAAATTTTTGTGTATTCTTGTTAATGAGCAAAAAAAAAAAAAAGTCTTCCTAGTTTGCGTAAAATTGAGGTGGTCCGCGACCTATAAAATATTGTCAAAGTGGTCCGTGGTGGTAAAAAGGTTGGGAAACACTGGTTTAGTAGGAACATTGTTTTAAATAGGTAATGGTAAATTTTTCGTTCATTGAACTTCTAATAGTTGTCTTATATTAAATGAGTAGGTTTATTTATTTAGCAATACTATGAAAGACATAGGACAATGGCATAATATGTTTTTGTGTAAGTAAATATGCATTAAATTTAATTGTTATACCTAATATTGTATAATGTACCTATTCTTTTATAAAACAAATAAGATCTGATTAAAGATATCTTTAAATTTGTTATTATTATCACCAATTGTAAAAGTAAGTAACTTGATGAGCATTTTAATTTAATTCTCCCTCCACGTACATAATAATCAATTGCTACGAATAAAATATTTAAATTGAAAAATGCTAGGTAGAGACTTTTTGTTCAAAATAAATTATTAAGTTTATTATACTCGAGACTAGAGCTTAGATCAAATTTAAACAAGACCTGATTGTTTTATAATGAAATGTTTGAATACATATTTAAATAAACACTTTTGTAAATATTTATTAAATTTTAATGTAATTGAAATAGTTTGATTAATCAAGAATTATAAATTTGTTTGTTTTGGTGTTGTTTAATGTTCTCTTTACATCTTAATACATTTTCAATTATTGATTTTTGTTATTTTTTATTATTTATTTTTATAGTTTCCTAGTTGGGAAAATTAAAATGTTCAAAAAGAAACCCATAATATTAGTATTGAAGTGCATGTGACCTAATGGAGTAATAGAATGATATCAAAACAAAAATAATAACATCCAATATCGAGCCCCTCCTTTAATCATATCGTAATTCGAAAATTGTATGGTCCACAGCTGACAGCTGTGTCAAATATTAATAGTATTATTTATTAGTTATTTACTAGAGTCTAGAATTTTATACAAATATAAGACTTTTCATTCCTACTGATATTAGTTACAAGTTTTAATATTTATATAGTAATAAGTAATAACTAATAATAATAATAATAATAATA